AACCCTAAACCCTAAACCTGAAATCATGAACCCTAAACCCTAAACCTGAAATCCTGAACGTGAAAATCCTGAACCCTAAACCCTAAACCTGAAATCCTGAACGTGAAATCCTGAACCCTTATAAACCCTAAACCTGAAATCCTGAACGTGAAAACCCTGAACCCTGAACCCTAAACCTGAAATCCTGAACGTGAAAACCCTGAACCCTGAACCTGAAATCCTGAACGTGAAAACCCTGAACCCTAAACCCTAAACCTGAAATCCTGAACCCTAAACCCTAAACCTGAAATCCTGAACACCCCAAGACAGCAGCAGCCAAGACACCGGGAATCCCCAAGGAGGCCACCGGGGTGATGCGCGCAGCGAAGCTCGGAGGCAGACGAGGGAGCCTCAAGAAGGAGATTTAGTTTTTGGGTTTTAGATGTAGTTTTTGGGTTTTAGATTTAGTTTTTTGGGTTTTAGGGTTTAAGTTTTTTTTTAATCTTTATCTTATGGCTTGAGGCTTTAGGGTTTTAGGTCCAGGGGTTTTCGGTTTTGGGTTCAGGTTCACGGGTTCGGGGTTGAGGGAATAACCATGTCTAGCACAATAAGGTGTTGTTCAAGTTTTTGCACCAGTTGATTTATTTCCTGAGATACAAACAGCACAAGAGTTCCAAATCTACAAACAAATAAAATCAGAAACTGCACATCGATCTCAACTTTTGAAATTATCATCTGTAAAGTGATGAGTCCCCTTGACTTGTAGTGTCGTAGCATACGCTACCCTGCATAAGCGTCAGACTCTTAGGAAGTCCTTGGCGGGATCGAGACAAACACCTGAAACAATGGAGACCTTAGCCCTGCTGCAGAAACCGTGGGTACTAGATAAGTTCGGCATGTTTTGCCCAAATCCGGGTTTAAATTTCTACGATTGATGCAAGTCCGACAAACCCGAACTCACAGGAGCCTTTCAGCCCTAAAACCTCCAAGGACTACGGTTGATGATATAAATCCTGCATTACCCATAATAAGGGATATATCCTAATTCCCTTAGTTTAGGGTCCTTACCCTTACCCTCAAAGGACTCATAGTTTAAGGCTTTCGGGCCCCAAGACCCTATTATATAAGGCTTTCGGGCTATTTTGATGCTAAGGGTTAAGGTAATGCAGGATTTAGATATCACCAACGGTATGAATGAAGCCTGATAAGTTCAGCTTCGCAGCTCCTGTTCCAGCTGTCGCATCAGCTTCACCAAATCGTTGGAAGCGGCCTCCTGGAAACCATGCAGGGTGCGATCTATACGTAGGGGACCCAAATTCCTGGGAGGTTCTACATAGGGAGAGGGTTTAGGGTTTAGGGCCCAAACCCTAAACCTAAAACCGTACAGTTAAACGCACAGAAACACAAGGGCTGCGGGCTTCGGGTCTGGGACTTCTAGGGCCCCCCCCAAGCTCGGATCACTTATGTGCGTTAGGGGCGCCTCTAGTTGCTGGTAGTTTGGGGGCTTCGGACGCCCTATTCTAGGGTCATGGCTTTCGGTCTGGCAGACCCTGATTCACGAGCTCACTGCCCCTAAACAGCTGGCTTAGTACGGAGCTGGTCGCCACTATACTCCTCAGGGAAGGGAAGGGAGGGAAGGGCAAGGAACGGTGCTATTGGTAGAGCCTACAAGTCTGGAAGCTCCAAATGCAGTTAGAGCGTAGGGTTCAAGTCGCTCACACCATCTTCGCACGAAGGTTCGGCTTGAATTCGACCATGCTTGCCACCACGTGTCCGCCTTGTGAACTGGAATCAGGCACCGGGGGAGCCAAACTACACACTAAACTCCAATCTCACCAATCCTAAACACGATCAGATAACCCACCAGATTAATGTAGGGGCCTTAATAATTAGAATGAGGTGTTGGGGCCCATTATACTATACATTTAATAAGGAACGCCCAGAATAGTATTGGTAATCATTTAGGCCCCCGAGATTACCTCAATCCAGCATTCCGAAGAAACCTAACAAATCACAGGACTCGGGCCTAACACAGGAGCCTTAATAACCAGAATAAAGGTTGCTGGCTATGTTATACTCCAACTAAACACGGAACCCTAAGGAATCCTATTCCCAAGTATTCGGCCTAAAATACGAACCTACACTTCCAGTTTAGTGCATTGGGTGTCAGAACGCCCTAAACCAAAAACCCTGAACCCTAAACCGCCAAGAGAAGCCCAACGCCACGCTTGAGCTCCTTCGGCCGGTTCGCGGCCGCCAAGATCGTGCTCAAGGCCGCTTCAGGATCGAAGCCGGGATGCTCCTGGCAGACACAATGTTTAAGGGCTTTTAGGGTTTAGGGTTTAGGGTTTAGGGTTTAGGGTTTAGGGCTTTAGGGTTTTAGGGTTAAGGGTTTTAGGGTTTTAGGGCTTATAGGATTTTGGTTTTAGGAAAGTCCTAAGTACCTATATCAATGGGGGATACTTGCCCAAACCATCACAGAAACTTCCGACAATAGAAACTCCAATATCTACTGTGTAGGTACGTAGGACTGTTTGGGACAGGCCCCTCAACTACAGAAACGATCAACCATTCATGCATGCATATACGGGACGTGTGCATGTCGACAGATGTACAAATAGAGAAACACATGACGGTCATGTGTGTATATATACATGCATATCTGTATATATATATATATATACATATACACAGACTTGTGTATCTGTTTGTCCTTGTGTGTCTCGGCGATAGGTAGGTTTGTTCCTTGAGGATGCAACCTCAATCAAGTTGATGAATCTCCAGGCTTAGGACTGCAGGGAGTCTCCCAATTTACGCACGATTACCATGCCCGAAAAATTATTATGGTGCATAGAAAACGAGATGTTGTCCCTTCTTAACTCATTGGGGCGTCCCTACACTAGAGATCCTATGCTAGATGGTCTTCTTTAAGCTTCCCTCCTTCCTTCCTTCCTTCTTTCCTTCCTGCCTTCCTTCTGAAGCTCACTTGTTTCAGGGTCTGCATAGGAGAGTCTTTCTGTTCCGGAGCTTCCACACCAGCATAGCACTTAATTTGCGCTAGGTCTCGCAAAATACTGAAGTGCCCTCTGCGGTTTCCGGGGTCTTCCCGATCTACCCTAAAGCCTATACCCATAGGCCCCATAGTAGTTCCTTTGTGTGGCTTGTTTTAGGATCCTATTGGGGAATCCCAAAAAGGAACTACTATGGGGCCTATGGGTAAATCCAAGGCCTCAGTATTCCTCGAGCTCAAGGCGCTTACGATGCCGAGTCTTAAATGCGGAGGCCGTAAGACCCAGCCTGCTAGCGTCGATCATCAGGCCATGTTTCAGTACAGTGAGGGGGCATAAAATGGAAGGACGGGATGCCAACATGAAAAAATAACAGGGTTCAGTTAAACTTAAAAGTTTAGGGATCCAATGCTTCAAAGCTTTGGAGTTTTAGTTTCGTTGAAGGGCTTGCAGGCCTTACATGGTTTACTGCGGAACGTGTTCGAAGACTCAGCAATAAAATGCCACTCCTGACCACTCTCTTCGGGTTCACCTTTACAGCTTCTCCTAAAGACGCGGGACGAACCACAGTCTCCTCCCGCTGTGCTGGGACGTCGGTGAGGGAGCGGGTGACGCCTTGCAGGTGCTTCGACGGCTTCCACAACGATCCACTACTCTCGACCTCCACTACCACCAGCACCAGAAACAAGAGCCCCAGATGCTTCAACTACCCGAAGAACTAAACGAGAGAAGCTTCCCGCCCGGTCTGACTACGTGGGAATGACACCCCTTGCACGGTTGGCCACGGGCTGAAGTTCCCCACTGTTTCGCATAGGAGTCAAGGGTCGGCAATTACAGGGCTCTTCGGCTTGTCTGGTATACAAACACGCCCAACACCGCTTGCTTCAGCAATTTGCTTTAATCTACATACTGCAAGATGAGTGAGGCGCTCTTGTATGCTCAGAGATCCCAATATCCCGTACTTAGGGAATATACCTTGAATTCTGGGGGCCTTAATAATATAAATTGGATTTCTTGCATACTCCTTTTGCTACGTGTAACTGTTGTGCTTTCTGTGCATTCATGCCAGCTCAAACCTGCTCGGAGGACCGGAGTAAGTAGGTTGTATAGTGACGGAAGGTAACCGAGAATTTAAGGGCATGCGATACACGCAGATATATATATATATATGGAGAGAGAGAGAGAGAGGTGCACCAAACGAGCGACCAACTGACACGGAAACCCACAGCCACACACACACACACAACCACTCGAAACATATAAAACCTCTGAACATAGTGGGTCGCAAAAACGCAGGCCCCACAGCCTCCTCTTCTGTGTATATATATATATACACACACACATACATACATACATATACACATACATACATACATACATACATATACACATACATACATACATACATACATACATACATACATACATACATACATACATACATACATACTGTATGTATATATATATATATATGTAGATGTAGATACAACTATGGCTACCAAGCCAACTTCCCACCGACTTGCTACGGCCCCTTATCCGCTAAGCGGGACCTGTTCTTGGTTCCCCAGGAAGCCCTTTGAAAAGGATACCGTTTTGATTTCTGTGTTTGCTGGCTTTAACGCTTGAATAAAAAGATCCCGAAATGAACGCGTACTACCTACACCCTGAACCCAAAACCCCTAAATCCTATACCCCAAACCCAAAACCCAAAACCCCTAAACCCTAAACCCTAAACCCCTAAACCCCTAAACCCGAGGCCCGAGTCCGCTGCGCGCGAGCATCTGCCCGGGCGACGGCACGGCCGGGGAGGGCGAGACGTCAGGCCCGGGTGCCTCTTCAGGGGTTAGTCTGGGGTTTAGGGTTTAGGGTTTAGGATTCAGGGTTTAGGGTTTAGGGTGCTGAAGGGGGTTTATGCTTTCGCGTTTCGGGCTTTTGGGGTTTGGTGTCAAGGCATTTAGGATGGCTTCGGGTTTCGGGGTTTCCGGGCTTGGTGCTTCGATTGTGTTTCAAACACCCAAAGAAAAGCAACAAACACTCAGTAAGCTATGAATATACATCAGACCTGAGCAACGGAAGGGTCCTTCAGGTTCGGTCCCGCCTCCTCCACCTCAAGGACGTCCTCAAACAGCATGGCCTGAGCATCGTCGGCGGCGGGCTTTGACGCCGGTCCTGCCGTCTCTTAAAGTTAAGACGAAAAGGCTAGCGGTTGAGGCTTTAAAGTTTTAATGTAGTGCCCTGAATAATTAGAATAGGGTTTGGGGGTCTATTATACTATATTTATAATAAGGAACCCCCCAAACGCTATTCTAATTATTAAGGCCCGTACATTAGAGGGTTCGGGCTTAGGGTTCGGGGTCTGGGGCATTGGAGTGCAGGAGCTTAGGCTTGAAAGGCTTAGGGTTTAGGGTTTAGGGTTTAGGGTTGAGGGTTGAGGGTTTAGGGTTTAGGGTTTAGGCTTTTAGTTCTGTCTGCTTCCGGTCAGCGTTGTGACAGGTGTAACCGACAATGAGAACCATCTGAAAGGGACTCAAAAAGATGGGAACCTTGCGAGTAAAGCCTGGGCCTTGGACTTGGGGTTTAATTCGGAGAGACTTGGAAGAGCGCTAAAGTAGAATTTGGTTTTGGAGTGCGAACCTTATAGTTTTGTTGAAGGCGCTTTTCCAACTAGTAAGGGTGCGATGCTATCTGCAAATAAGCTCTGGTAGCGTTGGATGTCAAAAAGAGGCAATACTAACCCGAGAGGTTATATTATATCCGCAATGCAGGGGCCTTAATAATTAGAATAGGGTTTTGGGGTATATTACACTCACTAAAACTACAACAAGGAACCCCCAACATTGAAAAGGTAATTATCAAAGCCCTTATATTATACTCGTTAAAACACCCAATCTCAAACCTGCCTATAAAAAATCCCAAATAACATCTTCGGTGCGACTTACCCGAAGAGGCGCAGACCTTTATCTTCAGCATTCCACGTCCTTCGCGTCCTTCGGTCTTGGGCACCACGGACTGGGACTTGACATCGCGGCCTGTCGCTGAGGCAGGGATTCCGGATGTGCGCTTGGAGCTGCAGGTGTGGTTATTTTAGTTCACTGCACCTGTGTCCTCCTGCCGAAGGTTCACTTCGGTTTACGGTTTCAGGAATCCGCTTTGCGGAAAGGGTCTTATTGGAGATTATACGTATCCCCAGCAACAGTTTCAGTCTTTGCAGAAACCCGCATATAGACGATATACACACACCAAAAACAAGTGAGGTTCTCTGGGTGACTGTCGTCAGCGCAAGAAAAGGTGCAAGCGCGTGGAGGGTCGGTGATAAGGTCTTCTGAGACCTAAAACATTCCATAATGGTAGTCTATATGGAGCCACTGGGATTACTGCTTCGGAAGCTCTTGATTGCTCGCTGCCTTCAACCGAACCTTGGCGAGATTGTTGCACACATATAACATAGTGTTTCATATCGACAGTACTATAACGCAGTCTAGCATAGTTAATGTAATGTAACGCAGAGAAACTACCCCTAAACCCTAAATTAAATCCTAAATCCTCACACATAGGCTGCGTGGCCTTGCAAATAAGAAGCCAGGTGATTAGATGCAACCAGGAAACAGAACGCTTGTGAATACCCAGGCAAGCTTGGGACATTGCCCCAGCCTAAACACTCAAATGATCCATTGACTTTTAGAGCTGTTGGGCTTCCTAGGGGTTTACACTTACTTGGGGTTTCATGGGACTTCCGTATTGACCATAGTTACCTTACTTCTAACCTTAGTTGCTGAGTCCTCTGAACCTCCAAGTAGGGTTGCATTTGGGGGTGGATGTCGCGCTCTGGATGTTCGGATTTGGGGTTTCGGGATGTGGGGTTCTTAGGTTTCAGAGTTTAGGGGTTTACTTAAGACCCTCAGAAAACTTGCAAACCCAAAATCTGAAACGGCTATAAAGTTATAAACCCTAAACCCTAAAACCCTAAAACCCAAAGCCCTAAACCCTAAACCCTGAGCCCAAAACAAGTATCTTCTGCATCCAGCCTCCCAGCCTCCCATCGCAAAGAGGATCCCGAAGTCCCATACCACATTCCGCAAGCACGTTACATAACGGTTTAGGGTTTAGGGTTTAGGGTCTAGGGTTTAGGGTTTAGGGTTTAGGGCTTTAGCATCTAGACCCATAGTAGTAGCTCCTACTATAGAAACCCTACTTTCCACTATGCCGGTACCGAGGCCCGGAACTTTAAACCCCAAACCTGTGGAAACGACGTAATGTAGGGGCCTTAAGAATTAGAATAGGGTTTTGGGGCCCCTTATCCTTTCGTTATAATGAGGAACCCTCAAAAAAGGTATAGGCAATGTAGGCTTCAACATCAACCCCGCTCCTTCCCGGCCTTTCGCCGGCTGCGGGCCGCTGCGTTGGGGCTGCCGCGCCTCGCCGATGACTTGGTACCGTGCTCGGATCTCCTGCGGTACCCAAAGGGTTTAGGGCTTAGCTGTTTAGGGGTTTAGGGGTTTAGGTTTGGGGTTTAGGGTTTAGGGTTTAGGGGTTTAGGGTTTAGGATTCCTTAAAACTGTTCCTTAGCTTTGGGGGGAAAGGTGGGGGGGGGGGGCCCATGGCAG